GTCGAGAGTCGAGAGTAAAAGTCGAGAGTCGAGAGTAAAATTCGAGAGTCGAGAGTAAAAAGTCGAGAGTCGAGAGTAAAAAGTCGAGAGTAAAAAGTCGAGAGTCGATCGAGAGTAAAAAGTCGAGAGTCGATCGAGAGTAAAAAGTCGAGAGTCGGCAAATGTCATCAGAAACAACAAAGTCAAAATATTTTTAACCACGTTTAACACAATCTATATATAGCTTTACATAGCCATTCCGTAACAAGTAGCAACGGCTGAAATACAAATAATATCGCATTTGATGCCTCAATCTTGCTAAGTGTTTTCACATGTCATTTCATTCTGACACATAAACTCCGCTGAATTTTGACAGCCATCTCCAGGCTTGTAACTAAAATGAGGGTCCTGAAGGGGGGGGGGTCGTATTCCCATTTCCCAGCCCAAATTTTGACTAAATCCCTATGGGCGTACCGGGCGGGGGGGGGGAGCCCCCCCCCAGTTTGTTGGACAAACAAAGCCAGTCGGGCAATATTCGCTTCACAGTCGGGCAACAACGCGGGCACAATCCGAAAAAGTGGGGCAAATTTTTTCCGCCCCCCCCCTAATTATTTCCTTCCCGTACGCCCATGTAAATCCCATTGTCCCAGAGCACAAATCCCATCATCTCAGTGGCTGTCCTGCTCAAATCTTGATCCCATTCCCATTTTCTATTGTTTTTTTGCTGATGAATCCCAGTCCCAGTGCATAAAATCCCAATTTCCCACCCAAAAATAAGCAAATCCCAGTTCCCATTTTACCCCTTCAGGACCCTCTAAAATGTCACTCACAGTATTCATTAACGTACGTTTATATCAAACGAGAGCGTATTAAGAAATCCACGTTGATCACAATCGATCTAACGATTCATACAATTGTGAATTCATAAATACGAGCCAGTAAAAATAGGATTGTTTTGTCGTATGTGTGACTCTATCGGGTGGTCATATGTCTCGCACGTGATTGTAAAGTCCTAGTATTTATATGTAGCTTCACATATGTGATATGAGTAATTTTTCGCGGAAATAGGTGCATGTAAAAGCGGGAAGGATGGACAGTAATATATAAGGAAGCGATAAAACTAGTTATTAGATAATAGTTATTATTATTGAATGTTGTGGCTAAATGTTTGCGAAAGTTTTTGTTTTATATTATACTGGATTATTCCTTTGATTGTATATGCCTCTTGTTTTTTAATTTCGAGAATTTGTGCATACTAATTATGTTTCTCAAATATTGTTTGCTTTATGTTCCGATATAGGAAATGAAATTAGTTCAGCCGTCATAAGCGTACGAGCGGGAAAAAATCAGGGAGCCAGAAAGAAAATTTACCCGACTTTTACCCACTGAATAAAATTTTCTGTGTAACTAAATTTCCAAAATTGTCGTTGGGAAGTAGACAAAAATATTTTCCTATTTGTCGATTCCTCGTTACTTTTACACATTTCTGTCTGGTATTTTCAAATACCATATTGCATGTACTGTCTTCTTTTTAAATTTATTTCCCCCAATTTTTGCCCGAATTTATACGTTTATAATTTGCATGACTTTATTTTGACTGGGGGGCGGGTCTGCCTCGATCCCCCCCTCGCCCATACGGCTATAATCAGCCGTTGTTACGGATCGGTTAATATATATTGTGTTAAAAATATTTTGACTTTGTTGTTTCTGATGACAATTTTGCCGACTCTCGACTTTTCAGTTACTCTCGATCAGGGGCGAAACTTGAGGGGGGGGGGTATGGGGGGGTGTTACCCCCCAAAATACGAATCATCCCGATTGGCAGGGCAATCAAAGGTCTCTTATAAATAAATGATAGCACATAGGCGTACCGGGCGGGGGCAATATTCGATCAACAGTCGGGCAATTTTGGTTTGAAAAAAAAAAAATGGGACAAATTCAGTCAATTTTATCTAAAATTAAGTGAATTTTTTCGCAAATTGTGTGATTTTTCGAAAATTTGTGTTATGTTGCGAAAAATATAGGTTGTCCGGAAAATTTTTTTGACCCCTAAAATGGTACACAGACCGAAATTTTTTTGGCGACGGGGGGGCGGCATCACTGGTTTTGGCAGGGCAATTCTGCCAGACACCCCCCTAATTAAAAGGGGCTAGTTTCGCCCCTGCTCTCGATCGACTCTCGACTTTTTACTCTCGATCGACTCTCGACTTTTTACTCTCGACTCTCGACTTTTTACTCTCGACTTTTTACTCTCGACTCTCGACCCTCGACTTTTAGATACACTCAACATCAGCTTGCTTGCAAAAGCACATCCAGCAGCATAAAATATTACGACATTTTTTGTAAGTCGAACTCTTGAAAGAAGAACAATATTCTAAATTTCAAAGCGGGAAAAGTTATTAGTCGATTGCGAAAATGACCGACACGGACAGTCAATACACCTCATTGGTGAGTAAGTTTATTAAATATTTTTATTTATATATTTTGTGATTTTATTAATATTTATATTTTATTAAAGCTACTTGGCCGTGCCACGTACGTAATTATTAATAGCCGTTTTCACATTAGAAGACGGACAAGTCGTCTAGAGATGTGAAAACATCATCATCAGATGTGAAAACGTGTCGTACAAAATTATAGACGAACAAGTCGTCTGAATTTGTTCGACTACTTGTCCGTCTGTGAAGACGATTTTTGAGAGACGATTTGTTCGTCTAGACGACTTGTCCGTCTCTAATGTGAATAGGGCTAATCTATCAGCGTACTTTTATTTGCAACATTCTTGAACATTGATATATAATGTTACTCTCTGGTCCAAACTTATATTTCAGCAATACATTTTGATACACTAGATGCTGTATGGAGTCTTCATTTCGTTATACTTTGTTTACATATTTTTCACTTACAGCATGATCTGTGTATATAAATATTATAAAGCGCTCTCTCTCAACGAGTGAAATTGTCTGGCATTAGCCAGAGAAAGATAATAAAGTAAGACAAATCAGAGTGCACCTTAATGGGTTAATTAACTAGACACATTGGCATTATATATTTGCTGATCAACCTATTGAGTGCCAGCACTCTTTCCTTGAGTCCTTGTAAATAATTCAGTACAGTTCTTAATATTATTCTTTATGGAATTTTTTTCTATTTTCAAAATCATGAACAGTCTCTCAAATTGATCAAAATATATTGTTGTTAGATTGTACGATATATATATATATATAAACAATTATGTATATAAACAATGTATATATTTATTATATTTAGGGATGGGCCGATATCGATACCAAATACTCGATACATCGATACCAGGGTTTTGAAGAAAAGTATCGATACTGGCAAGAAATATCGATTGTTTTGATACTTCTGAGCCTGCGATATTTTTTCATTTTGGTCGGCGGACTCATCATGAAAATTATACCAGAAAGCCTAAATAGTCTAAATAGGTGTAAATACTATCAAAGTAGTTCATTTTCTATGGTGCTTAATGGTCCACGGGCAGGATCAGAGTTTGTGGTTATGTTAGTTACAATCATGAAAATAAACGTGTTGAAAACATATTCAACCAGCATGATTTTGGAGTTGAAGAGATGAAAATAGTCTCTTGTTGTTGTGGTTGTTCGAGTTGGGAAAATATCGATATCGAAAAAAAAATGGCAAATATATACTTTGCAAGGGTAGTAGTGAAGTAGTTGTAGTTTGCTACTTTAGTGAACTACAATTTTCAAGTAGCCAGTAGTTTTTGAATACTTTGTTTAAAACAGTAGCTTTAGTTATAGCAAACTACATTTTGCCTAAAAGTAGCCAAGTAGTTGACTACTTTTCAAACAGGGAATTGCTATTTGCCACTTTTTAAAATTGTTAGCAACTTGATAGAATAGCACAATATTGAGACATGGTTTGCTTAAAATCAATACTCAATAGTCAACTTGCACCCGTGAATGCTGTAGGGCTTACAAAAATGTTGCTTTGTGTTTACTGTTAGCTGTTGCTACTTGTAAGTCAATTTGTTATAGGTTACATTACACCTGAGTTAGTAGATGCTCAATCCAAATGCACTAAAACTAAAAATATATAGCATAGCGAAATACAGTAGTTTGCTACATTTTTAAGCAGTAGCTGTAGTCAGTAGCGAACTACCTTTGTTCAAGAGTAGCAATAGTTGTAGCCGACTAAATATTTTTGAAGTAGCTGTAGTTATAGCGAACTACAAAAATTTTGTAGTCAACCCACCCTTGATACTTTGTGAAATCGACCTAGCCCCAATAAATCAGTATGTAAACGTAGCTTGAAGTATTATTTACTGCAAAAAATGTCTGACAAAATGTTCAATCAAATTCCATTTTGGTCGGACATTTGTTCCGGACAATTGTGACAGTTATTTCAGGCTCTGTCAACACCATATGTCCTGATAAATTTCTCTCTCCCGAAAGAATTAAATCAGTGTTGGTATCGAAACAGCACAGCTGTTTTGCTGAAGGATTCGATTCTTGTTAAGAATAATTGATTGTCAAAAAGCAGTGTTTCCACAACCCTTGTTGCCCAAGGTTTTTGTATATCTTTCGCCGTAATTTCCCGCTCTATTTAATATGAGCGGGATTAAGGCGAAAGATATACAAGAACCTCTGGCAAACAGGGTATGTTTCCGCTTATAAAACTAAATTCTGATTTCAAAAGAAAATGCCCTTATGCATGTAATGTGCATAATGGCTGCCTTGAGAGTGCATGGGGCAAATTGGCATCAGGCTAAAGGAACACTATCATTACAATTTTACAAATAAGTTGTTACAATCAAATCATCTATCTTTTACTCTGAATCGCCAAAGTCTCTGGGCACCCCTGAAACTTTGCACTATCTTTAGGCCCTCTGATTTTCAAAGTAATATTCCGTCCAGGTTTCTGAGTTTACATTCATCTTGTATTGTTTAATAGGCTGGGTTTGTGTATATTTTCAACCTCATTGTCGGGGCTGGTGCATTGGCATTGCCACGGGCATTCAGTGAAGCAGGATTACTCTTATCAGCTGTCATTGTTGTGATTCTTGCATTTTTAAGGTAGAACTTGGCTTGTTTGTGTAATTATTAAATTTGATGTTTAATTAAGGATAATGGACCAGGGCTGCAAATAAATATTTGACTTGACAGGACATTTGTCCGATCACTTTTAATTTTGGTCGGACATAACTTGAATTTGGTTGGACATATATGCCACAGGCCTGCCAAGGTTCCCGCATTTCGCGTGAAAGTTACGCATTCTGCTTTTGTTCCCGCTGTACCGCACGCATAACTAAAATGATCTTAAAGTTACGCATTTTTACCATTACATGATGCTATCCCACTTTTCATACAATAACTCATTGACACTGAACGCTGTGTGCAAACGTGGAATTAGAGTTAACCAATAGACCAACCAAATAAATACGTTCAGACGCATCATTGGCCTGGGGGTACGCTTTCTGACGATCTGGAGATTCCAAATTTCCAAAATTTTCTCAATTTTCCTAGTCACATTAAACTGTAAGTAACACTGTCATATTGATCAGTAGTTATTTTACTTATCTTCATTGTTAGGCAGTAGTAAAACATTGAAATCTTGGGTAGGAAAGAATCTCAAAATGCTATTTTCGACAGTCTAGAGAATTCAAATTTTCAAAATTTTTTGCTTGGCACCAACCATGATAGCGCCTCCCGGGCGTCGCAAAATCAGGTGAATTGAAACAATTCAGGCGGTAAATCTAACCTCTCCCCCCCCAAGGCAAAGTCCTCGCAACGGCCCTGGTCACGCATTCTTATCTTCCGAACTTGGCAGGTCTGACGTCACAAGACATATATAAGTCACGAGACATTAGCATGTATAGCCATTCCGGCGCAACGTTAAGTAAAATGCTAGAATGCCCCGTAAATTTTATTGCAAAATGAGTGAATTTGCAATCGCATTTTGTCACAGCAAAAAAAAATGTATAATGTGACAATATATTTTTTTGATCGGACCAATGTCCGATCAAAATTACTTTTGCTCGGACATTTGCCAAATTTAGTCGGACATTGTCACAACTCACAAACTATAGCCACCAAATGTAACAGCATACTTGTTGACATATTGTTTTCTTCAATTTTCCATTTTATTTCCTGTGCTTTTTGTTTTGATTTATTTATTTTAAATAGTTCTTAATTATGCTTGACTCTTCTAATATTTTCGATCTTTAATCAACCTTCTCTTTACTCTTATCTCAAAATTCTACCAGTAAATCAAAAACTTTGCTGACCAGCCCGTAAAATATGTTTTTCATCTGATAAAATGTCTGATGACTTTTGTTCTGGCCACTATGGCCCCTTAGGCCCTAGATACTTTCCTGCCTCGTCCCCAGGCGCTAATTAAAAATTTCATGCAAGTCACTATATGAAAGATTTACATGCATCGCGATGAACAAGCGCACGGGTTTACAACGCTCATATCCCACTCCCCTTTGCGCGCCTAGAATGTGACGCACTACTTCATGTAAACCTTTCATATAGTGACACGCATGAAATTTTTTTATTAGCGCCTGGGGACGAGGCAGGATACTTTCTATAGCCTTTAATATTATTCCTTTGCGTTCACTCGTTTTCGCGGTATTTTTCCGTAAACCGCATCTCATTAACGAGCCAGGGGGTATTTTGACCAGTGTTTTTCTGGCTCGGTTCTCACGCCTCAGTGAGCATTCTTTTTTTACAAAGCGAATTTTAGCGAATAAAAGCATCATTTTAAAACTTATTCGTCTGTGTTATACTGCTGTTGAAGGGGACAAGGCCTCGCTTAACCCGAAGGAAAAGAATAACTTTGTCTTTGAGTTTGGGTCGGACATATGTATGATAATGTCCGATGAGCAACAGTTTAGTTTTATAGCCCGGAAATAAGTCTGAATACTTATTTCCAAGCCAAAATTAACTTGCATGCCATAACAACAGTAAGATGTCGACACTTTAGTTCGTTTTTCACTTCACAATTTCGTTCGCCGCCGGCAAGATTTTGATTTACGTTGGACAAAGGCGTCAAAGCAACAGTTGGGTTGGACACCAATTCACTCGGGTCGGACAAACAATAAATCTCAGTTTCATTTAGGTCGGACAGAATGTCCGTGACCGACCGATCCTGTTACTGACTATATCTTGAAATACTTTAGCAGTTTTTCTCATGAATATTCAATTGAGCATGAACATTCTACGCATGTTCAGTTAAGATATGAGCTACTCAGCTGCCAGCTTGTGGCCACAATTTCTGATCGTGCTGTACATGAGCATGTTTCATTTGACAGTGACATGCTTACCTGAAATAGGCAATTTAGTAGGAATTGCATTTTATATTTAACTGCAGTGAAACACGCAATTTGATTGGTCAATAGCCGTGCAGGATCAGGCTATCCTGCCCTAGCCTCCTGCGCGGGCATCTCGTGGTTCACTTACTTTACAAAGAAATTATATACGTTCTCGACGATTAAGAGATGCTAATCCTGCCCGAGGAATTAAAATGCCTTCGCTGGATTCTCAAAATGTCATTGTTTCAATGTAGTTATTTTATAAAACAATAACCAAATGGTTTTCCAAGCAGGATAGCATGATCCTTGCACTTGGGATGTTGCTCGACTTTTGGAAAGCGTAAATATGCACTCGCCTGCGGCTCTAGTATTTTTACGCTTTCCGAAAGACTCGCGACATCCCTCATGCATGGATCACGCAATCCTGCACGGAAAACCATTCGGTATTCCTTTAAGGCTAATTTCCACTCTGGAAAATTATCTGTGGATTGGAACGGACAAGAAAATTTTTCTTTGTCTTGTGAGCTCTGGGTTGGAACTAATGACCTTAACACAAAGAAAAATTATCTTGTCCGTTCCAGTCCACGAATAATTTTCCTGAGTGGAAATTAGCCTTTAGTGTTGGCTAATTATTTTCGGACTAATAGACTGTACTGATTAAATATTGCACTCTGCCCTACATGAGTAAGAATCTGACAGCTTGTCAACAAGATGTGTTCGCATTGCTTGTTCCCTGTTGTTGACACGTCTGGAAAGTTGTTATCATCTTGTTGCAATGTTGATGAAGAATAGACTTGCGACAAGTTGTTCTAACAAATCTGATATCGTCTGAACAAAACAAGTTGTTAACAAGTTGATGACAACAAGGTCGTGGCAACTTGTTACAAACAACTTGTTGGAACAACTTGTAGCACGTCTGCATGCTAGCGTCATCAACCTTGTAACAGGATGATGGTTCCAGACTAGTCACAAGAACTGGTAAGAAAGAGTGTGAACACATGATGATATCGACTCAACAACAACCTTCTTACAACTTCTTTGCAGATCTGTAACAACTTGCGCGTTTTTACAGTATGTGTGTTAGTGTGTAATGGACTAGTTTCCATTTGGACTAGCTTCCATGTGGATATTTTCTCATGTTTTGTGCACAGTAGCTACTGTAGGTTTAAGTTTTGTGGATCAAAATCAACGAGGAACATATTCATGGACGAAACTTGGGGATATGACCTTTATGTTTGCCTGCTATGCTAAAACAGACAAACATGAAAATGAGGCCATTAGGGAAAAATGCATGCAATGTAAACAATAAATTCTAGTGTTAACAGGTCCCTCTTCCTCGTCTTATGTTTGAGATAGCACTACGACTGGACTGGATAAAAATATAATTGTTTGTCAATGTTTTGGAAATTATAGTTTTATGACATGTTCATTTATGGTGGAATCAATGGCTATTGCAAATGCTATCTTGCGACAAAAGGCCCACGATGAAGAATCTGAGGTAAAACAGGTACCGAGTTATTGTTGATTAACAGTACTGTGCGGAAATTTAGGTCACCTTAAAGGATTTATTTTCTGAGCATATTTTGTGTAAATCAGGCCTGTTGACTCAATGTACACGTTGTTTGATCTTTCCTGGTTTTTTGTATGATGCAATTAGAAATTTGGCATTTTGACAATGGATGATTCCAGTTATAGACTAAATTTTGATCCAAGCAAGGAGGACGAAATCTCATCATGATAGCTTAAAAGAACATCCTTAAATTAGTAAAATTGCCAAATTTGGTTGCAAAATGTTGTAAAATGCGAAAATATAGCCCTGTGAAATTAGAAAATTTTGAGTATTTTAGTATTACGCACGGAAAAATGCACCACTTTTGAGCCGAAAGTGATGCATTTTTTCTCGCGTAATACTAAAATACTCAAAATTTGCTAATTTCACAGGGCTATATTTTCGCATTTTACAACATTTCGCAACCAAACTTTGCAATTTTACTAATGTTAGGATGTTCTTTTGAGCTATATTGAGAAAGATTTCGTCTTTCTTGTCTAGATCGAAAATTAGACTATTAGTCGATAGCTGGAATCATCATTAGTCCCATCGTACATATTCAGCTAAACAATGTTGCACCTTATATACTTTTTACTATCTCAAAGCAGGGTCGTAGCCACCATTTGGGAAGCGGACTTGAAGCAAGTCTAGTAATAGCCCTAGCACAGACAGCCAGTTATTTCAAACCACTGTATAGGACTGCCTTCCAAGCAGGCATTTGATCCTATGAACGGCCACTTTTTGAATTTAGGCGGCCATTATTAATGGACGGTCATGGACAGCCTAAGAAAAGGTTTTCTTTCAATTTATAACAACTGAAGCTTTGTGATATTTCTTGAGTGCCTCTGAAGATGTTTTGTGTTGTTCACTACAGTATAGAGTATATACCTATTGCATACGTTTGGGTACTTTTTAGTTGCTGAATTATTAGCTTTTGTCTTCTGACTTTACAACTTGGCTAAAAGCCTGCGTCTAAGTCGTATACTCGACACTGACTCTTACCAATCATTAAAGCTAAAAATTATACATCATGAGTATATATTTATCACTGAGACCGAGGGAAACAGTGTGTTTTGTGGACCCAAGACCACCGTTGTTGCCCGAGGCGAATCCAAGGGCAACAACAGCGGTCGAGGGGCCACAAAACACATTACTTTCTCGAGGTCTCAGTAAATAAGTGTTTCGTTATATAGTATACAGCTATTTCAATTAAGCTTGTCCACGAGCAAAGCGGAAAAGTCGAATACGAGCGCGAAAGGCTGCTGGGAATCGCTATGAAAATTCATTAATATTTTAGCGATTCCCAGCAGCCTTTCGCGCTCGTATTCGACTTTTCCGCTTTGCTCGTGGACAACCTTAATTGAAATATAGCTGTATGTGTCAAAGTATGAATAATACATTGGAGTGAACTTAATTTGAAACCAAAACTGGATAAATGGAACGCCGTAAATGTTTAGAATAAAAAGTTCAATAAATGAAACTTTGGAACTTCATGGTTGACGCGCTTGCGCATTGCACCCATTCTATTGTTCACCGGTCAATAAATGTTTCATTGTAGACCGGTTGCCTCCTCGGCAAAGCACGCAGTGAACATGACATTTTGTGAACCGGCACGTGATACGGTTTTGATCAATTGGCAAACAGGAAATTTGAACTTTAACACTAACTATATAACAAATATATATGTACAGATCAATGGATTGAGTTTGATGCTTGATGCGGAACAATCATTCCCATGCATCATACATGTACTATAGTTAGTCATTTTGCCTTCCAAGCTAATAATAATTGTTAACCTTTTACACTTTGTGATTTTGACACGTCAGTAACATACATTTGATGCACCATAAATCATGAAATGACCATAAAGATCATGGACGAGAGGTGCGCACCCGCCTCTCTTTAGATCATTTTGCACCTTCCCTCGTGAGCAATATCGCTCCTCCCCTGAAAATTCATGTAGCTACCTTCTTTGGAAATGATGGATCACAGTAAACAATTGAGTCAAACTTAACAGTTAATTTATACATGTTTGTTACTAAAAGTTTATTTGTTGCTTAGGTTCTACATTTTGTGACAACGTTATTCTATAAAATTGAAAACGTGATACTCGTTCATCTCTGTGTAAATTACCCGCTGTTAATTTACATTACCCTGGCTTGTATTAAATGACTCTAGGATCAAAGTTATCGGGTCAGTGAAAATCGAAAAATCGCTTCGCGTTGTCGAATCGCGTCCGGTGTGTCTGGACCTTTATTAATGCAATGTTTCGAAATGAGTATTACTGTACAATCATACTTCATGAATACATTGATAGATATGTACAGTACATGTGTATGTCACATGCAG